ACCTAGGATTCAATAGGTAAGCTAAACATTTATAAGGAAGTGATTAATGCAAAGTGTGGAGTGTAGAGCACATGTTTTCAACCTCAGGCAACCTGGGCTGTCCAGACACGGTTTCACTTGGAGAGCTTAATGATTTGGGGAGAAAATTAATTTTTTACAAGCTTGTGCAAGGAAGGATTTGTCTTTCATAGAATGAAAGCAAAGTTTATTCAGTCCTCGTGGGGGTGAGCATTTGTTGTCTTGATTTTCCTTGCATGCATGTGCTACCTTTAAAAAGTGAAAATATTCATTGTTTAAAAAACAAACTGGGAAAAATAAAGCATAGGAAGTAACAAAGTGTTCTATAAAAGATTCCTAAGCAAGCAAAATTAAGGAAATAACCCATCAGAGTGATGACTGTCTGTCATAAAGCAAATTTTATAAAATGAATGGTATATTTGCAGAAAAGGTTGCATAAAGTAGAAGCACCTATCTGAAAATATAATTAGATGTATTGATAGTTAGAAATCTCTTTTTAGAGATTTCAGAATGAGTTATTTAAGAAATTACAGCCCCCTGATCATAATACTGAACTTTGGCGGTCGGTGGGGCCAAATTCGTATTATTGGTCCTGCTTTGCGATTCAAAACACTTACTTATTAGGGATTATAGTTGAAAACATGAACAATCTCAAAAACTGGGGAAAATATTTCATTCAAATTGCTTCAAGAAAATCTAGAGCACTTTCAGTTTTAGCCTCAAGTTTACAGCTACAATAATTTAGTAAAGTTAAATGAATTAATCTTCACAAAATAATAGGGCAGGTAAACAAGCATACATGTACACTTTTCACTGTAGCATATTTGTAATCACCAATAACTGAAAAGATTCAGTGTTAAAAATAGATCACTTTAAAGAATATCCTTGATTTTTCCATCCAATAAAAGATCATGTGGCGTTAACAATTATTATATAGATACATATTCATTCCCAAAGAAATATTTCTATTACAGGTGACAAAAAAAACAAGCTTGAAATAAGATGGATAATGTATGATAATGTGTACTTTAATAATGTATGCTCTCATTTTAATTAAAAACTTGCATAAATATATGTATAGATATATGAAATAACATATGAGAGGACAAATATTAAAAGTAGTTTTTTCCAGATGGCAGAATGATTTCATGTGTACTTTTATTTGCTTTTATGCTTATCATGAACTTATTTTATAATTAAACAAAATATAATTTCCCGTTGTGATTAAATTTAGACATAAAGCATGATTTACTCCATGACTTGTCTAGCAGCAGTGGTCTAGGCTTTGACAAAGCAGATGTGTCCTGGATGAAGACTTTATCATAGTTACACTAAACATTTACAGAAGACCATTTACACTAAAGCCGTAAAGCACTTCAGCTGTGTAAAAAGTGATTAATCAGAAAGTCCAAATTAAAAGCTTATTTAAGAAACAATGAACTACATTAAAACTTAACATATGAGGCTTAAAACAACACTTAAATTTAGAACTTAAACTTTAAAACTTAAAAATACAATGAGGCTAAAATGAGGTGTGTGTGTTTTTGTCTCCATGAGATTGTCTCTTAAAGTATGTATGTGCTGTGTGTGTGTTTATAAATACATACACCTTCAAGTGTGAATTACATGAAGACTTACAGAATAGATTATCTGTTTTCATTCAACAACTGATACACAGTTTCGACTCATTCATTGAGATTCCTTCAGTGTACCATCGCTTATTCCTCCTGCTCACGGTTGACTGTTTCTGTTCATTCTTCTTTCCTAAGCTTCCGGACTTTGTCAGAGATAAGTGATACTGTTCATTGGATCTTAAATGACTTCTTATCATAGGAATGTGCTCAGTCCCAGACCCAAAAGGTCACTAAAGGACAACTGTTATGTGAGTTCCTCTGGTCTCCACCTGACCAATCAGCCTAGTTTCATTTCTGAGTTTGAGTTCTGCTCCACATTTTCTCCCCAGTCTAGTCAACTTCTGATGTAGTCCTTTTCAGAGCAGTTGGTAGTGGTTTGTAGAATTATATTTAGCACTACAAAAATTTTAAATCAAGATCTTTGAGCAATTTGAAACAGGAAAATTACAGGATGATTCCCCGGAAGCAAGAACTGTGTACTCTGAGGGCCAAGTAACCAAGGGGCTAATGTAAAAGCAAGAGTCAAGAAATCAGATAAAGTTATAACTTTTCCTGATTAACGTGGACTACTTACCATGACCACAAGTTGTATTTGACAACAAGACTACATTAGCAATCTAAAGTTTCCCTTAACTGTGCTCTAGGTGCCACGCCAGGTGCCACTATACGAACAAGATAGCAATATTAGATCTTTGGCACAACACTCTGTAAGTATACTGGCTTAAATTAATTTATCTCTTAACTCAGAAAATATTTTATTTAATATCTTGCAATAGTTCAACAGTAAGCTTGTCGAATTACTAAATGATTTACATAGTGAGTCTTACTGTTTATTTCCTTTAGAAGAACTTCCCCTGCAATATGCCTTTGACGTGTATTAATATGAGATATTCTCATAGCATTTTTAACTAATTTCAGTTAAGTAGATGCTATCTTACCTCGATCAAGTTGATGCCAACTTAGTGAAAGAAGAACATTTCAAAGGGCAACTCGAGAAGGCGAAGTAAGATAGTATCACTCAATGTGCAAAGACCTAGGGTTAGAAGACCGAAAAGGAAGAAAACCCTCTTCCACAATCAAAGCTCATGGAGGGGCAGCCAGGAGGTCAAATGACAGCTTGCCTTGAGTGCATCTGCTGCCTTGAGTACAACTCCCTTGAGTTTTCTCAGATGACTAAGATAAGCTTGAACAGAGCCATGGTATTTTGTGACAATTGGACATTGAATAAGGACAACTAAAGAAAAATCTATGCACTTGAACTATGGTGCTGACAAAGAATATTGGAGATATAACGGACTGTCATGGAAGAATTACACGCAAACGCTCCTAGAGACAAGGATGCCAACACATCTCTCGTGTAATTTGGACATGTTATCAGGGGAGACAGGTCCCTGGAGAAGGACATCACGTTTGGTAGAGAGGAGGGGTGGGGAAAGAGGAAGGCCCCCAATGAAATGCACTGACACAGAGGTTGCTACAAGGGGCTGAACTCTAAGACAAAGTGCGGGATGCTGCAGAACCTAGCGGTGCTTCGTTTTGTTTACATTTGGTTGCTATGATTTGGAACCAACTGGAGGGCACCTCAAGCAACAGATGTTCTCTGAAAATGTCTTGCATGCGCTCATTGTAAGTTTGACATACCTATAGCATCACTAATAAGAAAGAACATTTTGAACAGAAAGCATATTTGTGTTTATTAGTTCAGTAATGTTATTAAGAAGCAGACTGGGTATTCTTAAAATGATATCTGAGCACGATTTTCCAATTACTAGTTTAGGATCGATTACATTTTAAAAGTGTTCCCATACTATTGCTATTTAGCTAATGTTTTTAAAAATTCCCTTATCAGAAATAAAAATATTAAGAATGCCAATATATATTGTTGTGAAAATGTAAAGATAATGTTGGGCAGTAATTAAAACTAAAATGCTATAGACTGAGAGATGAAACATCTTTCATTGATATGATAGGCAATATTTCTCTCTATTAGTCTGACTTAGAAGTTATCATTTTAATCTCAAATTAAGATAAAAAATTGTTCAAAAATAAAGTAAATTACTAATAAAGCCAAAAAATATTAGGTGATTATATAAAAGAAAAAAGTTTAATGTTTCATTCTGTGAATAAAGCAGGTTGATGGATGCTATCTAGACAAGTTGTACCATTTCTTTCATAAGACCAAGATTTCTATTCTGTACTATCTTCAGCCCACCTTTGTACACACCCAGCTGACTGTGTAAACTGTGGTGAACAATGTTTCCTTGTTGCAAATAAATAGTGAGGTATCTGTGGGAGGATGTGAGCAACAATAATGTTTGTTTGTGTGCGTGTTTGTTTGTAGATGAAGAAGAACCCATGTTGAGCTCAACTCTATCATTCCTGTTCTCCACTGCTATCTTCTACTACAAATATTCAGAGACAGTACATCCAGCTCTGGAGAGTCTTATATACTATCTTCCAACCACACAGTTCTTAAAGATTCTTGATATATAGAAAAGGAACTGCTCAAGATATTATTTATTCCACATGCCTTTAAGAAAAAACATTAATTCCCAGTGATAAAGTGAGATGAATCAGATTCAGAATATCTGATACTTGGATTTTCTAACCTGAACATTTGGGAATAGGCATGTCTTTTATGTACTCCCTTCAGTTTTCTTAGGGCTCTACACAATTACCAGTTATAAGTCTGACTGGCATGGAGATAAGTAAGAATCAAGATGCCATAGAAGTCTGTCAGCCTAAGGCATTCACAGGGACCTGTAGCTCACCACCTTTGTCTTCGGTACGGGTACAAGGTCACCACCAACCCAATGTTAGCTCTTTATAAGAACCTGCTACTTCTGACACAAACGTTTTGTCCTAAAATGTATATCTAAGGGGGACTCCCACATATTGCCCTTGGTTAAAAACAGAAAGCAATATGCTTTCTTCAAAAGTTATCGCTCATTTTGTCCTGAGCACTGTGAACAGTTCTACCCTGTCCTCTCAGCTCACTATAAGTTGGAATCAATTGGATGGCATTGTTTGCTTGTTTTGTTTTGTGTTTTCTCTTTGTTGAGAAGTCTAAAAGCTCCCAGGAACTTAAAAGAGGCTATAATGCTTCTCTCAGACACAGATGTTCCATTTATTTCTCATTCTTTTCCTTGGGACTTAGCAAAGGTTTTGCTTTGCTTTGTTTCTTTTGTTTTCCCTTTGTTGATATTGTCAGAAACAATTATATAAAGACAATTTCATGAATTATAGAAAGATAATTTCATGTCCAATCAATAAACCAACATAAAAAAGTAAATTATCATAAAGATTTAACAAAGAGGTTCAAGAAAATGCAAAAGAAAAAGCACTAACATCTCTGTCCAGGACTCTGCCTGTGCTGTTCAGGAACAGCATTTGCTTAACTGGATCCAGCAGCACCCAGTAATCCACGTTGTCCTTTAAAGAGAGCTCTATGGTGGGATTTGGTCCTCCGGCAGTCCCTTTAATCAGCATGTTGTCCACTATAATCGTACCTGCAAACCAAAGACAGTTATCTGAAAACACATTCTACTCATATACATTCCTTCTCAAAGACATGTGCATAAACACCAACTGACTGGTAAATACACTTTATATAAAAAAATTATATTTGACATCTAGCACGAGGTAGAAACTATCCTTTGTCAAAAGGCAAATATACCTTTATTGCACTTGTTATAAATTATAGTTTGGGAGAGGAAGGGGGAAGCAAAGGCGCAAACCCATCGGGAGTTTCATCGTCTATTTCTTGTTGCCCTTTGACCACATGAGTCAGCTCCGCTCGCTGCCCCTCACTTTTCACAGGAGTTATCACTGGATTTTATCATGAACACAAAGAAATGCTTGTAATAACAGAGCCTGCTACTTCAATTCCTCAGTAAGACTTCTGATGTGAAAAGAGATATCCCAGAAATAGAGAAGAAGAGAAAGGAAGAGATAAAGAAGCTGTAGAGTCTCCCACGGTGAGAACTGCTTTTCCCCGCTTGTTATCTTTGAGCAGATCCATAAAACATAAATCTGAATGTGAAAGACAAAACTAATATGCAGACACACAATAGAAGACATTCTTCCTTAAGACGTGTCCAGAGCACTGAACTAGAACAACGCACATTCCAGAATAACATCATGATGCCTTATGTCATATGTTTTCTTTTTTAGTAGGCGGAATTGCAGGTATTTGTTGAAAAATGAGTTGCAGAGAGAACAGGTCTCTAATCTTTCCTAACTTGTTAAAGATTTAATGCAAGCTGATGCAAACTTCACTGACTGAAGTAATTCAAATTGCAATCCCCCTCCCACACAGAACAATGAAATCTTTATCAAACAATAAGGCCCCATAGCTTATAGAAATCATTTCAAGTATGACACATGGCCATTCAAATAAAAATGTGCACTACTAAACACACAAAAACAGATGGCTAAAATGAAATAACTCATTGCTGTCTTTTGCTATTCAAGAATATATACTGAATGCAAAAATAAAAATTTTCATTAAAAAATAAGATGTAAAACTCATCAGCTGCATTTTCTTAGGGCACAAAAGTAGCCTAAATGTTGACCATTACAAAGTAAGAAAGGGAAAGAAATCCTTGGATTTTAAAAAGTCAAATGACTATTTATGACCTGCAAGATTTCCTTTACATGTTATTAATTAAGCTTTCTCTGTCTGAGAAATCTTGAAAAGAATTATTCTTTATTTGGGACAGTAAGAAAAAAATGTTTAAACACATATTGAATACTTATCAGAAAAAGGGACTGGGTCTTTTCTACTTTTCATATTCTAAAAATGGATAGATATAGTTATTAAGGAAAATTGATGTTTCTACGATTTGACAGAAATGGAAAGCTAATAATTTATGGAAAATACACTTGTAAAGTAAAGATAATTTCTGGACTGCCCTAGAATATTTTCAAGGCATAAGTATGAACTTGTTGGCAAATACTTTACATATCTGACCTTTGGAAAGTTGATCTGTATTTCAAGATGTTTAAAATAAATGTAATTCTGTTTTGCATCCAGAAAAATATTAAAAACATGACACAGGTAAGTCAACTAATGTTATTTCTTGGTTTGCTAGTACATATCATCAGTAACAGTGAATGTTCTTTTAACTTCTATCCCCACCAAGCAGGCTTGTGATGGGAAGGGGATATTTCCTCTTCTTTATAAAGTAACTGGGTTATAACCAGAGAGGCTGGAGTTGCACTTTATTATTTTTAATTTCATGGAGCACACTAAATTTCTTTTTCCTCCACTTGCTACTGGGTCCATCAATACTTGAAATGCAGCAATACTTATTTCTAGTGCTAATGGGTTGAATAAAAAAGAAATAACTTAGAAATTCTTTCACCAGAATACACTATTTCCATTGCCAAACACCTTCCAAGAATCTCATGGACAGTGCTGCTTTAAATCAAAATTTAAAGGAGAGAGGGACAAGAGCACAGCAAGGCTGATAGGATGCCAGGAACAATATTAAAACAATTAATATCGATATCCATTCTGGCATGCCTAGATGATGTCGTCCTACCGCCAGCTGTTTCTCCCAACCCTTGCAGAAGAGAGATATCCAAGCTGAAGCTAGCAGTGAGCTACAGTCTTCCATTAGCTATACTGCATCAGTAGGGACAACTTCTATGACCCTGAGCCTTTCAGATTTGGCCGGTTGATCCACAGCCAGGTTGATAAGCAGCTCACCAGCAGGATACTTGAAAATTTGGGGGGAATGCGTCCCATGTCCCACTTCTGCATCACAAGCTTTTTCTCCCTCCTGTAAAAACTATTCCTTCATTCTTGCATTCTGTCATTCTAGTTAAACTATAAAAGCACATAGGCTTAAACTTAAAACCAAGGAGAAACATTTTTACCATGGGTTAATCAGAGACAATATTAATGGAAAACCATTGTGTCCCAGGCGGATGATCTATGAGGCTCTGCACCAGAAATTAACAGGGAGGTTTTGAAATGAGGCCAAAGGCAGTTAAAACAAACAAAAACATAGATCCAGGAATATGTTTTGGGCTCACACTAAATTCTAGTTCCAATCTTAGAACAATTCATTTTTACATCATGGCTCTGCTTGATACTGGCCCTCAGGAAGGGAACACAAAAAATATAGGTGTTAAAGCAAAATGTAATGAAGAAATTAGATAGTGCCCGGCTATGAGATAAAGTAGCATCTGGGGTCTGAAACGCTTGTCGCCAAACAAGCAGCCATCTAAGTGAGATGTCAACTAAGCCCACATGGAAGAATCACACCATCATCAGGCACTGAAGGATTACAAATCACATAATCTGAGGTCAAGGAGGGATTTGTATCAGAGACTAAATTGTAACAATCTGGTTTCCAAAAGGCTAGGGATGACAGTGGGAGCCTTAGATACATTTGTGGGATCTACATAGGAAATAAGCCTCCGGTGATCTCCCTCTGTCCATAATTGAGGAATGGGAGGAAAGCAGTGACTAAATAGAGTGCATTGGAGAGATGAGTACAGAAGATCAAAGTTAACTTGACAGTTAAAATGTTGTCGGCTGATCCTCTCTGTTGCACTCTGGACCTGATCTGGTTCTCAACATTTTCCGAATTTTGTTTTTCTTTGTTTATATCAGGGTTTATCGCAGAAGTGTTATGTCATTGGGGGATGACCCTCGAGAAGTCGGGTGATATGTTTTTATGTGTTTCGGTATATGAAACCCAGGATTGTTGAACAAATAGGGAGAGCAAGTAGAATAAGGGTTTCAGGGGACTGGGGGTACAGTGGTGGTGATGGAGGGACTGGTAAATAGGAGATAATGTCAAGGATTCCAGGAAGAAAAAGAATGAAAGTATATTTGGGAACTGATTGTGGTACCAGTTGTAGAATACTGTTTGATGTGATTGAACCTTGGAATGATATATTTATTAACTCCCAATTAATAATAATTTAAAATAAATATTAAAAAACCAAGATAAAGAAAGGACAGAATAATATGCACTCCTCAATTCTAATAAAAATATTGAATCAATTTCAGAGAAGTAGATGCAAAATATTACTCATGAGTAAAGAGAAGTATTCCATCATAATAAAGTGGTCGGTTCTTCAACAGGTGTTGACCCTGATGGGACAAACTGTACAGCCTGTACAGATACTGAAAGAAAAGGTTCTTCTTGCATGAACATTTCCTTTCATCATAAGGAATAATGGTGGCAAGCAGGAAAAAATAAACTCATTTTGATACTCACAAGAAAGAGAGCTATGTTTGATATTCCAGATTTAGAATACACTCTTGGATCCATCACTTACCAGCTACACTTGTGTCAAAATTAATAGATCACTTAAAACAATTGACCTCCAATTTTCCTCTTCTATAAAATCAGTACAAGACATTTTATGCTTGCTCCTTGATTAAAATGAAAATGGAAACCTCATGTTCTAATAAAAGAAGTAATATCATAAACACAATAAAGTACAGATATAGTTAGATAGATGTTTTAGTAGTTTTCACAGTCAGTTAATAATTTCATTTGCTTTGAATTGAAATCATTTTAATCCAAGTGGAAAGCCTGATCCAGGATCGGGCTTTCTTCATTAATCTATTGTTTGGATGCAGAGAAATATCTTTGCCGTTCTTGCATGTGTACTCACCGCTTCAACAAACAGGTTGACAGAGTTCCTTTATCTTAGACCTGTGGGGGTAACTATTGATAGAGACCTTTCTTGCACTAGATGAGGTTCTTCAGTCGATTTTCACCTTTTTTCATAAAATTTTCTTACATAGTAAATATTTTAATTTTAAATAGTGAAAATGTTTCCAGATTATTAAATATTCACATATATATATGTATATATGAGTGTGTCATTTATATATGACTTTCAAAAGTTTGAGGTTAAAAGATAATGGAATTTTTTCCTCAAAAAATTTTAGGGTACATATACATATAGGTGTATATAGATATATACATGTACATATACATAGACAATCAAATTATAATATATGGGAAATTACTTATGAATTCATACAACTTCTGTATTATATCAACTGAAGTTCCTTACTTATTGTACATTAACTTATGTACGTCATGGAAGAGCTTTAATGATTAAATGGAGTAATAGTTTTAGAATTCTGATGTCAGTTTCTGATATCCAGTAATGGCTCAATAAATGTGAGCTGTGTTATCGCTGTTGATGTTTTTAAATATATCAAAAGGAAGGCATTTAAGGCTAAAGAAAAGGAACTAACTGTATCTTGAGGTCTTTATAACCTCACTCTTGTTTATGCTGTAGAGTTAGGGTTATCATGTTGGTAAATGTCTATGAGTAATAACCAGTTAGGAAGGATTTATATAGATTCAAAGACTTTGGGACCAAAATAATTATTTTGGGGAGTTAGATAGGAGGGAGGAAATGCCTCCTCTAGATAAAAATTTTAAAAATACTTCACATATTCAATGGTCAATTCATTCTACATTCCTCTCCAAATAATATCTTTCCCATTCAGTTCTGATATCAGTGG